CTATATTGTCGGCGGTGCACTGTCGAGGTGGCAATTGGTATTTGTTGTTTTTTCACTTTCATAAGTCTTACTGTAGATGGATTCTTGGACAGTCCAGGCAAGGTGTTCAGTTGCTGGACACCCTTTGTTTCTACAGCTGCTATCTCAAATGCCCACCTGAATCTTTTTGGGTCTTTGAAATACTCACTTCGGAGGTAATTTATGCCTAAAATGCATGGGGCTTCTGGGCCTGTCACAATGGGGTGTTTCTTCCACTCATTTCCCGTCAGACTCACGTCTGCTTTTACCAAGGTAAAATCCTGTGATCCCCCTGTCACGCCAGCAATAGAAACAGATTCTGCCCCTACATGTCTTGATGGGATTAGCGTGCACTGTGCACCAGTGTCAACCAAGGCTTCATATCTTTGTGGTTCTGATGTGCCAGGCCAACGAATCCACACAGTCCAAAAAACACAATTTTCTTTAGCCTCTACCTGGCTAGAGGCAGGGCCCCTCTAAGCCTGGTTATTTTTCTTTCTTTTGGTATATGTCTTGGATGTTCTTTCAAGGGGATCGGACATGTCATCATCATCATACCTGGCAGTTCGGCTACGTGCAACTGGAGCTGCTTCCCTTTTGGTGGAACTTCTTTTTGTGACTCTTTGTGCACCCATTGTGCCAGAGCTGCAGTAGATTTCTCATCTCATCTCTTCATGTTCTCTCCGCAATCACGCAGGAAGAACCACAGCTCAGCTCGTGGGGTATACCTTCTCTCCCGATCGGGGGAACGTCTGCGTTGAGTGTCAGGACTTCTGATCTGTACTGCTGAGATTTGGAGAAGGTCTTTTTTAATCTCATCTCTAAGTTTTTTGTGATTCTCTTCTATCTTATCTTCTAATATCTGCAGACGTGTTTCTACAGCTGCAATTTTTGCGTGTGTGGGGCCATGCACGGCATCTGCATATGCTCGAAGCTTCTTTGCCATATCCAGCACGGTCTCTTCCTTTTCATCCCGTTTTATCATTGCTAAAGCAGATGTATATTCTTGTGGCCCAAGTCGTACTAATTTTCGCCACATCACGGATGTACATGGTACCAAGTCTGGATTCTTAGTTGGTATGTCATCTGAAAAAACACTCTCTGCCACTGCCATTTCTCTCAGGCATTGGATCCCTTGTTCGATGGTTCTTCACTGCGTTTGCTGCATGTAGAGATCATCTACACACAGGTATCTTTGGGCTACACTTTCAAGGACTCGTGTCCAGAGACTGCGAGGGTTAGCCCCCCTCATCATCCCCTGGTCAATAACCGGATCATGTGACAGGGATCCCAGATGCCTCGCTTCAGTGCCATCTAGAACTGTAGCTTCACCTGCGGCGTCCCACAGACGGACTAACCAACTAATTATAGATTCATCAGGTCGTCGAGTGTAGTCCTTCCTCAGGCTACGAAGATCTTTCAGAGAAAAAGACTCAATATTAGCTTCTGATCTTGTGCCAGTTGCTTTGACTCTCGGTTTTGTGTTAGGAGGCGTTGAGGGTCCTTCTCCTGCATCATCATCATCATCATCATCCACTGGTCGATCAGTTTTATCTGTGCACTTTCCACTTTTTGTGCTAGTAGCAACAGCCATTGGTTGAGGCTTGCTGTCCGGTTTAGCTACCAGCTTTGTAACTGGGAGGTTGGCTGCAGCCTGAGTAATTGGGGTAGCTGTTGATTTATCTCCCTGTCCCCTTCTTCCTATTTGCTGCCCTACAGTATCTAGTAATGTACGGTACGCATATGCCAGGGCCCAACTTACTGCAATGATCTTTTTTTCTTTGGAATTATCCTGACACTTCTCTTTCAGATATTTCCTCACCTCAGCTGGATTCAGAATTTGTTCATGTGGAAAGTCTCAAACTACAGGGTCAGAAAATTCCTTCAGGATTTGGCCCATATCCTCTCATTCTCCACCCCACTCAGGACTTTCCATGCTTGGTTCAGGGGTCTCATCAGTCCCTCTAGAAATCTCAGCCCTCATTCTAGAGAGGCTGAAGACTGTATAGAGGAAACTTACCAGATTAAATGCCAGAAAGATGGTCTCTTTAACATTCAGGGGAAACTGAACACTCGCCAATAGTGATGTAACCGATTCAGAGGAGAAGAAGGAAAGGAAAGGTTGAAAAGCCTCATTCCCTGCTCCTCCTCTAACAAACTGGGTGCATAACCATACCCATGAATCCTTTATATTTGGAACAGACTGCAGCACCTGAATAAACTTCTTGGAAATCATAATCACTAGGCCCAGCCCAATAGCTATTCTAATCCGTGCCCCTCTACTGTAAAAGCTATGTGTTAGGGACAATACCGGGGCTAGTTGTGGATAAGAAAATAAACCAAGGGACCATAAAGGTATTAAAACCTCAAAAAAGCCTAGCGACCAGAAACACATGAAGGCCTGCACCCCAAAAGACATTATTAATTCAAGCAACATGGCTGGATGGCTAGGGACAGCTTTATCTTATCCCAATACAAAGTAATTGCCACTTCAGTACAATCAGTACAGGGTTTTTCCACGCTCTTGTGCCCCACGTTGGGCGCCAATGAATGTATTTGTCCTGGTTTAGGGCAAAATTTGGGAGAAAACCTCCAGTGGGGCTCCCCCCGGGAAGCAAACTCACGTGGCCCTTTTTTTTCTCACCCCCCAACCAGTTTGGGAAGAGATTTCTCTGAGAGAAGTGGAAAAAACCTGTTTATTTCACAGGCACAGCACTACCCAGCACAAAAATGAATGATATCACATTACAAAACCTCTCGCTCTTCAGAAGAGATGACAAACTTCAGAGGGTCTCTTTCCTGTGGCTGTTCGCTCTGTTATCAGTCTCTCTGGCGCTGGAAAATGCCGCTGCCCAGGCTGGGCTCCCGGTAGTCCACGGGTGCAAGCTCCCGGTGCTCCCCCGAGTCCCCAGTCCAGAGCAGGTTCGATTCGTTTCAAAAAAGGGAAAGAAAACAGTCCAGGAAGACCTCTCTGCTCCGGCTAGTTGGAAAGCCAAGGCGATCTGTGTCTTGTTGTCTGCCTGTGCTGTAGTCAAAGCTCCCGATGCGGGGGGAGCAAGTACAATCTCTGATAACAGACTCGGTGCTTCTTTTCCACTCACTTTTACTCTCAGATGGAATTTTAAGAATACAAAACCTGTGTCTGGGTTAGGTGGACGAATGGGGATACAATTTAACATCATAATCAACCCAGGACAGTCCTGCCTGAAGCAATTCCAAATGTTCAACCAAGCCCAGATTAGAAGGGGCTTGACCCTCTACCTTATCAATATAACCATCAATTTTACATGTTACTTTAACAACTATTTTTCATAGGGTATGTATTTCTTTCCCATACTGAAAAAATACTGGCAAAATCTCAACTGTGCAAGGTAAAGTAACCTTTATGAAGAATTTTTTCATGTTTTGAAACAGTCTCATGAAAATTCAGTTTTATTTTCTTTCATAATGTATTCTTGTAGAACTTGTCTGGAAGAATACAGTTTTATACATACCAGTGAAGACATGTCATACTTGTCTTTCCTTTTTTTAATTTTTTTTTTTTTTTTTGAGTGACTCCAAGGATCTATTTAACACCTTTAGAAACATTGACTAGAGAATGGAAAATAAAAACCTGACACCTTTATTCACTTTTCTTTTCATTCTAGAATTTACTCCATCTTGCCCTGAATAGATAAATTCCCCCTGCCTTGTATGTATTCTGAACAGCTTTGATAGAAAGTCCACCTGTAGTTTGACTGAGCTACTACTACAATGTAGAAATGATTTAACATCTAGCATCACTGCAGTCAAATAAACTGTAGAGTTTTCTAGGGTATTTGGGGTTTTTTCCACTCCTTTTTATATGCAGCAGCTCTTTATGCTGGTATTCCACAAAATTTATCATTATCTTAGCAAACCACATCACACAGTACAGTGTCAAGTAGACAAGAATGTACTGGGCACTACAAGCTATGAAGTGCTAACCAAATACATCTTTATAAACCCAGAACTGTTTCTAATTTGACTCAGGCCTAGCTTCATAATTCTACTGCAAACTGCACACTCATCCTACATAAGTAAGATGACAAAGGGAAGAAAAATTTTTGGGAAAAATACCCGGCAATACACAACTTCAGAAAGCAGCTCCAAGATAGTAGAAGGCATGTGAAAGTTTATAAAATTCTTCCTTGCCTTCTTCCTTCTTAATCTCTCTAAAAAGGAAGTAAATGTATCTCCTATATTTCTTACAGATTGAAAAACATACATATTTTCATAAACCCAGAAGATGGTCTGAGTAGTGTGTGCTTGACAGATCATTAGAGTGAACATTTTCCCTGACATTCACCAAACACATAAAACTGTTATGCAAATGTATATATTGTTCCAACTTTGTGAACTAGTTAACCATTTCAAAATATATATATTACAGCAACAATTTTTCTAGGTAATTTTTATAGAGCAGGTTTCTTGGCAATTCAATCCTATTTTTCTTCAGATGCAATGAAATCTGAATTTTTTAAGGCTAATAAATTCAATGTATGCAAGGGGCCATATATGCTGGTAAGCAACTAGGCCAATGAACTTGGATACTCAACTATATTTTGGCAATAATAGAAAGAGATCTAGAATATGCAGCATTACAAAGAGCTTTGATTACTCTGTGTGTTGATATTGTACAGATGGATATTAAAGTGAACCCTATGATCATAAAGCAGAATAACATACTTTTTGATATGTTGTTTTAGCTGTGTGAGCATATTCTTGGTCTTGCAGTACTTTTTGTGTATCAGCATTGAGAGCCTCTAGCTGCTTTATCAGCTCAGCCTGCTGTGTTGTATCTTCAATGTTTTGTCTGTAAAGATTCTGTGGCTCTTCTAACTCCTTCCTGTGCAAAACAAGCAGTAAAGAGAAATTAAGAAAAAGAACAATGCCCTCTGTTAAAAAATTGTATGCAAATAATTTTAATTGTAGATAATGAGCTTCCTATCTTCATTTATTTTTCTGTCAACTGTTTTACAAACACTGTAAATTACATATTAAATATTTATCATACACTTTTGAGAAATACCTACAAATCAGTTAACTTTCAAAATGGAATGCCTATTTCCCTGTAATGCTTTAACTGCTCTAAAATGAATGAATTTTCACTATCTTTTTCTAATCAATATTCAGTTAACTCTTTAGCAGTGTCAAAATGTAAAATATGTAGAATACATCAACTGTAAACAGTTTAGGCTTTTTTTTGCTTAGAACAATCAGAAAAAGATAAAACTTTTTTTCTGAATTTGCAGAGTATATGTGAAGCAAGCTTTTTTTCTGAAATGCATCAACTCCCTAGACACATGAATATGTTTGCTGATAAATTACTTTTTGTCTGCAGGTATGGCATACTGCAACAACCATTAAAAAAGTAAGCAAAAACTTTGGTGCATATTATATAACATAATAAAAGCCCTATAAAAACAATAATAGGAATGGTGTTATAATGCAGCCATAGGATAGAACTAGTATAATCAGCTTTCTTGACAATTTTACTGTACTGATAGATTTTCTAAATTAAGATCAAAGTACAGTAACACTTACAATAAACAATGATTAAAACTTCAAATATTTTCTGTAACATATATTAAAAGTACAGATGACTCTATTAATCCCTGTTTCTATATTTTCTACTTAATTCCCTTTTATTTAATAAGCACATTTCACACTAATATTACACAGAGATACCAAAATATATATTTAGCACTCCAACTAATTTTCTTCCTTACTTCTTCAAAGAATTGTCTGCATAACCTCTAACATATACATAACATTTCTGTGACTTGAATTATCATTAACAGGAGTGATCATTGCATTTTTCTAATGCTTCTGGATATATTCAGACAAAGATTAGTGTACAAAAGGTAAGCAGCAATACCAACTTCATTGTCATCAATTTTAAGGGAAGTTCAAAAAAACTTTTTTATTAAAACATATGCCACTAATTAGGGTTTGTGACTAAACTATTATTCAATATAGATACATCTAAATAATTATGCAAGAATTTAAATTACATGTACAATACGACAGTCAGTTTTATTTTGTTAAGAAGCACCATTTTAGAAAGTATGCTAACAGAGCAACAAAGGATAACACTTAAGGACATGCTAACCATGCTTATTAGGACTTAATGTTAAGTCCTGCTGTTCTAAATGAATTGTGAAGTAGTTCCCCAAAGTTAACAAGGGCAGAGATACATTAAAGACTCCTGATGTAATGAAGTGCCACTGCAGTATGTAATGCATATGTACTAATTTAATTCCATTCAGAAGAATAGCAGCAGAAATACAGACACAGTGATATATAATATACATGTGTGTGTGTGTGTGTATATATGTGTATATATATATATTAGTGCTTTCTGACAGCTTTACAACAGGCTTCCAAAAAACCACTTCTTTTATTTCCCTGTGTACATATGGAAGAAAATACCACATCTTTTCACTGCAGACAGTGAAAACACAGATTATATTAATTTTGCACAGGTTCTCCAATCAGATCTTCATTTTATTGCAAGAGAAAAACATGGGATAATGTTGAATCCTCAAGACCAGTCTGCTGTATTGCTACTCTTTAATTTGTATGCAAACATCAGTGCAGTTATCTGTGTCTGTCACCCGAGAATGCAGTATTATGTGTTCTCTAATGGTCTGCCCACAAAGTGTATTAAGGTCAATGGGAATCTTATTTGTTGACTTTATCAGACTTCCAGTTATATCCTTAAGGAGAGGTGGTGGGAGGGGGAAACTAAGTCTTGCAGCCACACGAGAACAGCAGAGTCAGAACATACTAACATGTTTGCTTATGTTAAATTCAAGGCTTTTTAAGTGTAAGAAAACTCAGTTACAGTTCCATTACAATGCATATTAAAAATCAAACTTTATTTATTCATACTTCTACTTAACTTGCTTTTGTCTTTAGTGAATGCACTATTTTTGCATAAATAAATCACTGCAAATCAATGGGGGAGCCTTCTTTTACTTCACTTTTATAGACCAATATGGAAATTATGGTAACCTTACCAGGCACTATTCAGTATCAATGTGCAATACAAATAAATGCACATAAATAAGCACCTTTGATAATAGATGAACCAAATCAATGAGGGGAGCTTTAAACTAGAAATGGCAGGGATCAAAGTTGTTGATGAAATGACAAGTGAGGGAGTTGTGGCCTGGACTGGCAGGCAAAAGCGGACAGATAGACATGGACAGAAAAGATCTTGTGATTAGCAGCAGAATGTTCAGGGAGAATGTTCATTTTATATACATAAATAACAGAGTGTTCACTGTATGAGGGAGGTTCTTAAGAGTCTTCCTGATGACAGGAGAAATGGGTGATGGTGTCTTCACAAACAACTCAATCTGAAAAAAACCAGTCAAGTTCTGGAGAAATGGGTGTGGAGGCCTTCACAAATATCAAGCCATGCAAGTTTGTTGCAGAACCGAGTTCAGGCTGAACTTCAGGGACAAATGTGCAGGCTTAATAGACTTATGAATATTAACTTCTCCAGCCAGGCTGGGCTTAAAGCTAATTTAAAGGCCTTGCACTGCATGATGGAAGTAGGGGGGATACATCTTACAGGGGGAATATGTAGTAGGTGATTCAGGAAGGCCAATGGGGAAAGGAGGATGGCAAAATGCAGTCACGAGTTTAGGATAAAAGGAGGCCATGTCTTCCAAAAACCTGACAGACAGCATAGGGATATGGCCTAGTGGACTCTCTGCCTTTATTCAAATGAAGTTGATTCTTGCAGGACTCCTCTGTCTCCTTTGCAGAAACTAGCCTTTTACAGCATGATTTTCCATGCAGTGGGATATAAGCACAACCAGGTGCCTATCTGAAGCTGCTGTTCAAATGGATACAGCACATCTCCATGGAAGAAAATGGGAGCAATGGGAGATCTGTCTGCACCTGCTGCACTCAGTGGGATCACACAGACAAGCACATGACTGAAGCACTGGATACAGGCTCTTTAGGAAGGCCTATGTTCAAAAAGAAGGTTCTGGGAAACTAGAGCAGTTAACTACATCTAAGTCTGTAGGAAGGCAATGGACCACATAATGGAGAAGATGATCACTGGGAGTCGTAAGAGGAAATAATATTTATAGATTCATAGAATATTCTTAGCTGGAAAGGGACCACAATGATCCTCAAGTACAACTTTTAAGTAAATGGTTCATACAGGGACTGAAACCACAGCCTTGATGTTATTAGCACCATGCTCTAACCAACTGGTCTGGCAGCCTTCTCTGAGGGAATTACTATCTCAGTGGATAAGGGGTGAGCACAGGATGTTCCTCTTTTTGATTGTAGTAAGACTTTTGACAAAGTCTCCCAAAAATACTATAGACAGACTGATAAGGTATACAATAGATAAGTGGACAGCAAAGTTCCCTTGAACTGGTAGAACTACAGGGTTTGAAGAGTTTTGATCAATGACGCCAAGTCCATTTCAAGGCCAGGCACTAAAGGAGTAGCCTAGAGGCAAACATCAGGGCTACCACTTTTCAACATCATCATTAATGACCCAGACAATGGGACAGAATGTACCATGGCAACTTTGCTAAACGCACAAAGAAGAGGCATGATGCAACAGATGTTTGCGCTGCCATTGACAGGGACCTTGACAGACCAGACAAACTGTCTGGACAGGAACCTCATGAAGCTCAACAAAGACAAGTATAAAATTACTGCCCCAGGAGGTAATAATGCTGTGCAAAAGCACAATCTGGGAACAGACATGCTGGAAAGCACCTTGTCAGAAAATGCCCTGGGGATCCTGGTGGACACCTGAGTGGCTATCAGATAGTAATGTGGCCTTGTGCCAAACGCCAATGACATCCTGAGCTGGGCAGAGGATAGTGGTGCCAGCAGAGAAAGGGAGATGATCCTTCCCCTCTAGTCAGAAGTTTTAAGACACATCTTGATGCTGTGTCCAGTTCTGGGCTCCCCAGTACAAGAGAAACATGGCTGGAGAGAGCCAACAAAGGGCCACAGAGATAATCTAAGTATTGCAGCATCTGCTGTACATAGCCTGGGAAAGCGTGGTCTGCTCAGCCTGCAGAAGGGGTAGTTCAGTGACAACTGAACTACCAACATCTATAAATACCTGATGGCAATCCAGAAAGAAGATGCAGATGGATTCTTGTAGGTGGTGATCAGTGACAGGAAAAGAGACAATGAGTACCAATAAAAACCAGATGAAATTTCAGCGAAATATAGTAAAAATATCCACTAAAAATGACCAAACACTGGAAAAGCCAACTCAGAGAGGTTGCAGAGTCTCCATTCTTGGACATACCCAGTTTGGACACAGTACTGGGCAGCCTGCTGTTACTAGCTGGAACAGAGGGCTGGATCTACTGGAGGAGAGTACTACATCATCTCCAGAGGTGTCTGCCAGTTTCAGCCTCTCAGTGGTTCTCTGTGATTCTGTTACTAATTTGTTTGTCCTGTGCTCAGAGTATTCAAAATCAACCTCAAAATATTTATTAACATGCTTACTCTAAGCAGCAAACAATAAACACTCTACAAGATAGGCACATCTGTCACTGCAGCAAGATAAGCATGTCAAGTCCTCAGAAAAATTATTATCTTGGGTGAGCAAGTAAGAGAAGAAATAACCAAAACTCACTAACTGAATGTAACCAGTATAACAAGTGGCATTTAACATATAAGAGCCATTACCCACACTATATACAGGCATCTATACATACATACCAGATATAAAAAAAGATATACATCTACATTTGAAATATATAAATTATACTTAAGCATGTACATACATAGATACATACAGATATACATATACAAATATAAGCACATGATGATAAAATGTTTCAACATACTATACACTTTAAAGAAATACAATTTTAAGAAAAAGTCACCATGAGCAACAGTAATTGAAAAAAACTGTCAGCTAAGACCCAAACTGCAGCACTTAAGTATACTTTTTTCCATGACCCTAAACCTCCCAAAAACTAACACACTATGATACACTAAGAGCTTTTAACTTTTTTAAGAGCAAAGTCAGCAGGTAGTACTGAGAATTAAAAAAAAAAAACAAACAACTCTCTGTCTCTAACCACATACCTTAAAACTACAATAGAAAATTAAGAAATTTACAGGAAGTGACCTGCACTCTTCAAGCAAAAAGGAAGAGTGTGCTATGAAAAATAGTCTGGTTTTTCTCACATCAAAATAGAAGAGCATTACTAAATTATTTCAATACCTGAAGTAAGACTGTTGGTATAGTAGCCTTAGTAGACTTTGCTTTCAGCATTGCAAGGCTGATGCTACGTGAAGACACCACAAAGCAGACAGCAGCACAACCCAAACATCTGACATCTTACCCAACTGGTAACAATATTTAAGTCACTAATATTGCTTAGGGTAGAGACAACTCTGGTGCTCACAGACATTTCCTCCTATCCTTAAAACATAAGATTAAATAAAACCTTTCTGTCCTGGGTGGGGCAAGGGGCCTTGTATGCCCCTACCAATGGTTTTACAGTAACCTCTAGCTTCTCAGAGATGTAAATGAAATTAATAGCTATTGCCATTCCACATGCTATATAACCTTGCTACAAACAGAATTAAGAACCCACACCACCACAATTCTGGTGAATATACTTGGACTTTGAGCTCAGCTGCCCCTGTTACCAAGGGAATACAAGATGGTTTGGGGTAATTCAAGAAATCTTTAGATTCCATTACCTGTAGTCTAAAAACACAGCACAGTGACAGGTCCTATAGATTATGACTTCTTGTGGAAATGGCATAAATACTACAAAATGGTTTTCAGCTCACAGCAAAGAATAACCCGAAAAATCCAATAGCAGCAAAACAAGATTTGAGTAAAAATCTGACTGCCTCATAATTTACAGCACACAAATTAACACCAACTACATTGGAAGAGGTGGTGGACAGGGTGGGGGCACAGAGGGTGAGGGAGTAAAAACAGGAACATTGTTAGAGAAAAAAATAGTTGGAAAATCATCAGGGATAGATTTGGACTAGATACAAATAAAAGGAATGAAGTCATGGCCCATATTTCCACTAGAAACACTGGAGCAAGAAATTAAAATTAATTTTAGAATATATTTTACTATATTTGCAAACACTTTAATATTTCCTGGATACTTGTGACAGCAAGGCTCAAGCCTCAGTGAGTCAAGCAGACCTCTCTAGTTTGATGTTCAGTGCTCCACTGTGTTCTGTGTCAGAGAACAAAGCTCTAGACCCTGGTATTTAGTGTAATTTTAAAGCAAAAATCATCAAACTTGAAAACATGAAAATGAAAAGGTTATCATGGACTCTAAAGAGATACAGAAAACCTGTACTGAATGAAAACATGAAAAATATAACAAGAAAATGCATTTCACATGTAATTCGGAAGTATGAAAGTAAACCCAGTGAGGTGAAGAGTACTTTGCAAAAATTAAGCCAAAAAAGAAAGGTAATGGCTTCTAGAAGACATTCACCATACAGAATGTATCTATAAATACTGTTTGTTCACTGGTCCTAGAAATTGTATCTTCCGCACCTCGAAACTATGTGGCAGACTTTTACTGACACACGGCAGTATTTTCAAGAGCACCTTGTTATTCTGTAGAACCAGAGGTGCACTGGAGTATTTCTTCAATGTTTGATCTCTGCTAATTTGCTGAAGATAACAATTCTCTTGATGTCTACAGACACACCTGTCACTAAAGGACACAAAATTATTCACACGACCACTCTCAGTGTCAGAACAAAACCCGTGACTTTATTCTCTGACTCCAGTATTTATAGATTCTCAACAATGACCAGGGATTGGATAATTAAGTTACCACCTTCCCAAGCATGCAAAATATCCATCAAAAGATGTTTCTTAGATGGAATGTGATAAACAACTTATTTTTACAGGACTTTAATGGGAAGGTAACTAAAACCATGAAAACATTATCAGAAGGCTTAATTTTCAGGGTGACACACACCTACTATTAAACTAAAAAACCTCTTGCCAACAAACTGACAGATATGCACAGTGCAGGAAGTTGTGAATGCACAAGACACAGAGCTCTAGTCCACTATGTACATATTGCCTTGGAGACTTCCTTCTCCAGCTGAACATAGCACCTAGTGTAAAAATTTTGGACACCATTACCAACGTGTCAGCAGATGTATTTTTCGAAATCTGCCTATGCTGTATATGAAAGGAAACACCAAATGAAGGAAGCCTTTCCTTTTTATTCCTTCTTGTTTCTAATGATTTCAGTTGTGTTCCTGCTCTGTTTTCACAGAATGATAGGGTGGGGAATGTAGGAAGGCAGCAAACAGGGAGACAGAGAACGGGGGAGAACAGACACATTTGCAAGACAGATTGTCTTTTTCAGGTCTAAAGCTTGAAACTGATGATGGGAAACTGAATATACTAGGGAGGATGGGGTATTTTTCACACTATTTGTCAAAGAATTTTCTGCCAGCATCAAATGACAACCAATCATTCAATGTGATACTTTCATAAGACTAAATTTTAAATGGATAAAAAAAAACCCCAAACAGTTAACATAAATAGAAAAAATTGAATGTTTTAATCATGAAGTCAACACAGTTGTAAGACTTTGGCCTAGAAAGATGAGTAGATGGAAAGACTTCATATTCTCCTCAGATTTTTCCTTTAACTGCAGAGTTGTTACTTTAACTTAAATGATTTTTTTTTTGACAAAGATTTGTATAATATTTTTTTTCATTGAAAAACAATAGAAATGTAATTATCTCTACATACTGACATCTCATGAAGATAAGGAGAAGTGTCAGTATTCTGTATTACAAAAGTACAAAATATTTGCAACTCTTAGTATGTATTGCTAACTGCTGAAACCATGAATTTTACATAATATAAGCTTAAGCCTTCTTTCTTCATAGCAGAAATGTCAAGAAATTTGTAGCTGAAGTTCATTGAGATTAGCAGACAGGCATTAGCAGACAATTAATTATCATGATACCAATCAAACATATACATACAGACATATGAAGTGTAAGTCACATACTAGTGATATCAAAAAATACTATTAATTATTGCAATACCAACAGGAGTCTAGGAAGGAAAATATTAAAGCCCACAAAAAACACCCATATGATTGCTTTACCAAACTATTTTCCATTAATTTAGAGGACTGGTTATATGGAAAAACATAGAAGAAGATTTCAACTTAAAATAAATATGGTATTCATCTCTTTATTACCGCATGTTCAGACCTTATGTTCAAAAATGTCCTTATTTTAATGAATTGTGCCAAATTCTAAGAGGTTGTTTAGCAATTAATAGAAAAGACTACATTTTGAGAAATTTGAAATTCAAAGATTTGGCCAATTCAGATTGCAATATCCTAAGCTGAAACCAGCAAGCAGTAACTTTGCAAACTTGATCACCTAAATGATTCTAAAATGTCTTCTTTGCTGTCCTCAGTCCTCATACATATATATTTTTCTGAGAATAATTTCAGGAGATAAATTCTATTAGTCTATTGCTGAATTTCTCAAATTCCACAGACTGCCTCTTTCAATACAATTTCCCAATAAACTTATGCATGTTTATTGACTTTTTAAAACCCAACTGGTATTATTCCTTTTAAACATGAAAATATTTTTTCTTGTAAAGACATCATATTTCTTATAGAGATTTCAACAAATAGACAATTTAGGTCAGATGCATCAGAAATCGTATTTCTTGGTTTTCAGTTTTGTTTTTTTTCCCAAAAAAACACTTAGATACTGACTCCTTACAGAGAGATTATTTGTGCTTGGAAAGTAAAGAGGAGTATCCTTACCAATGATTCCTACTTCCCATCAGCAGTTCTTTGGGCAAAACCACAATTTAAAGGAACATTGAAGGGAACACTATTTTTCTAATATAGGAATGAAACACTGTATGCTTCTGAAATTAAGAAGTCAAACAAGGACAATCTCCTGACAATCCACTGAGTTATCAATTATCTTCTGACATTACATTCATTCTGGGGAATTCAGTAGTCCTTTCAATTCGTATAATTCATTCTGTCCTTTAGTTTTTCCAAGACAGAAATAATGCAGCACTAATCTTACAGATTCGGTGTAAAAAAATAGTGTGTGAGACCTAAGATAAAGCTTAAACCACTGCACTTTAAACGTTTAGCACCATCCTATGTAGAATTCTGCTGACTTGTCAGATTTGACTCTAATTAAAAAGTTAAACTTAGGCTTAAAGCCTTTTCAAGTTTAGGCTGTTTAGCCTTTCTAATTAATGTTTATGTCACTAATTATAATGTTACTTTTTTACTTTCAGCAGAGATTGGTAGTTCTCTGGCCTAGTGCAAATTACAGAAGTGTAATTTCTTAAATCTATCACTACTCAAAAACAGGTAAGATATACAAAGAGTCAAAATGTATCAGAAAGTGCCTACATAAACTGGTAGACTTCCAAAAACCTTACCTCTTGTGAACAAAATGGTAAAACACACTGTTGCACAAAAGTATCTCTAATGCATGATACCATTTTGCAAATAGAACAACACTCTTTTTGAGAGGATTCAGACTTGAAGTTACTATGAAATACTTACTTAGCTCCAACCACATCACAATCATTTTGGAAAAGTTCTTCCTGTTTCACATCTACCTGAGATGGTAAGCTACTGCATATACTGTGTAAACTTTTTATTTTTTTCTCGTCTCTCCTAAATCAGTTTCCAAATTCTGCAAAGAAAGCATTTCAAATGCATTAATGAAGAAAAAATAGTTAAAATCTACTATGCAAGTAATCTATGTATATAGATATATAGATGTGCCCATACATACATGCATACATTTATTGCAGTCTAAGCAAATGCATATTGTTATATGTGCATGTATAAAAAATGTTAAATACTAGAAAAAAGGTGTACTTGAAATTTTAGGTGACGACCTTTTCTTTACTCTAAGAAGTTTTCCTTAACTCAGTTGCTGGATGTGGAAGGAGGATCCTGAATCAAATCTTTGCAAAACAGCACTTCCCTATTTAACTACTAAACTGATTATACCTTGTTTCTTACGTAGACATCCCTAAAAAAAGCAGCTATGCATTCATTGCTTTAAGCTCTCACAAAAGTTTACAGTATTGTGTACATGAAGTAAGAATCATAGATACAGATTCATTTTTGAGACTGCTTGTTAAATCCATTCTTACTTGGCACTGCTAATTCAGTGCAAGGAACAGTTTCTTCAGGAAAAGAAACCGCATACAAGAAAATTTCTGAAAGTACACACTGAAAACAATGCAAACAAACAAGGTCTGCCTTTTACCATAAGCTCTACTGTTGAAATTAGTCAGCAAACTGCAAAGGTGTAGCCAGGAAACACAGCAGCAAGGCAGCTTACTCAAACAAGACTTCAATCTCCACCTTGCTAGACCTTGCAATAAGCCTTGCTAGAGTTCCCTCAGAAGAGCACATCAGTCCTTAGGAAACTTTGTATGATTATTCTCCCCAGAGTGCATTGAGGCAAGAATGGAAATATAAATATTACAGCAATATCTAGAACAGAATTTCAGATGGTGGCAACAGCCTTAGACCTGCTTTGGTATTAAGCTACTCACAGATGCAATCACTCATTCTCAGTAAGGCAAATATTCCAAGATTCATTAATAATTTAAAATAAAATCCTCCTCATAGAATATCATCCCTAATCTACTGCCAAAAGTATACTAGTTTTCCATTTACATACACACTTAGTTAAAGAAATAAGAAAATGCACATTTTTCCCTTTCAGAAATGATGCCTCAAATACTGTGGTTATCAAAATAGTTCTATAACTGAAAAGTGAATAACGAATTTCTAAATAAATTCCTTAAAATTGCATAAAAAATTCTTATAGGTATTTAGATGTATCAGAAGTGTACTACAATCAAATTCCTTGAAATTGTACAAGAACTATCATGTCCTGTTAGTAATAGTAACATTGATGTAAGGAAATAGCAAAATCCACATGTGAATGAGGTAGGAAATTAATTTGTTTCCTGACAAGTATCAGGCTACATACCTGTTGTAGTCAAATGAGTCACAATTCAATGTCAAAGGCTAGGTAGAAAAATTTAATTTTTCCTTGAATAATGAAAAAATTCAAAATTATGAGAGACAGTTCACTATCAACACATATATTTTTTTAATTGTAATAAGGTATTTATAACTTGCAGACAAATAATTGTAGGGTTTCTCCTCAGTACTTTTTTCCTCTGCAGCTAAAGGTATTGAATATGTGAACAAAAATTGTAATAGTTCATATATTCTGTGAATAAATTCTATTTGCCTATTTCTAATACCACACTATAGAGTTGCAGGGTTTTCCATGGAAGAGATGAAAAAAATCTAACATTACCAATGCTTTAAATTCCCATCATCCATTGGAGAGTACAATACAAAGAATATGTAACACATTATTTTTTCACAGATACAACTTCAGAAGATGTATCTAACGAGAAAATTAAAAATCAGAAAAAAATATCTCTAAGTACTTTATTTGTGACATATCTGACTTCAAATAACTCAAAGGTTTCAAGTAAGAAATTAATCAGTTCAACCTTTTTGAACATATTTTGAAAGCTTGAGTTTTTTCGGAAGCATTACTGAAAGAGTAAAACATGAAAAAATGGAAAGGAAAAATTTGTTATACAAAATATTGAAATATTATATATTGATGTACAAAAGCTCAGCTGAATACTGACATCTAAAATAGAATCCCAGAATGTTTTGGATTAGGAAGGATCTGAAAGGTCATTTAGTTCCAACCCCCCCTGCCATGGGCAGGGATATCTCCCTACTAAGTCAGGATACTCAAGGCCTTGTCCAACCTGGTCTTGAACATTGCCAGGGTCAGGGCATCTGCCACCTCCCTGGGCAATCGGTTCCAGTGTCTCCTTATCCTCATAGTAAAGAATTGCTTCCTAATCTCTAACCTAAATTTCTCCTACAATTTGTATTCACTCCTTCTTGTCCTTTGTCCTGACAAAGAGTCCTCCTGTTTCGCTGTGGGCCCTGGTCAGATCCTGGAAGGTTGTTCCACAGGAATTTCTCTTCCTCAGGCTGGACAGCCACAACCTGCTCAGTCTGTCTTTGTAGGGAAGGTGGTCCAGTGTGCTCATGGCCCTCCTCCAGACTTGCTGCAGGAGTACCATATCCTTCTCATGTTAGGAGTACCAGAACTATACAGGGCACTCCTGGTGGGGTCTCACAAGGGCCCAGCAGAGGGGGAAAATCACCTCCTTTGGCCTGCTGACGCACCTCTTTCAATGCAGCTCATGACACGGATCTCTGGGCTGCAGCTGCACGTTGCTGGCTCATGTTGAGTTTTCATCAACATCATATTTTTGACCAGGAAGTAACCTATAATATTTTACACTCAATTTCTGAGCATATGCACTTTTAATATCATACGGAATGTATCACATTCCCTTGTTGATACAGTAGTCAAAAAATTTAATGCGTAAACATGCTAGGCAAATTTGTGAAAATTTACCTAGCACAAACACTACTAATCCGGGTTTTTAAATTACAGTCCATTTCAATGGACAATATTTAAAATACAGGCTTTTTAAAGCCAATTTTTTTTTAAAAAAAGCACCACTTAAAATAGTCAAGGCATCAAATAATTCAGTTATATGAGAGAGAAAAATGCATATTTATAGATGGCACAATACAAGACAGCAAGAAAAGGTGAATTTAAAAGAGCTTCAAACATGAAAAGCATAAAAAAAACAAGGCATGAGGAAGCACAGTTATACCCATTATGGAGTCACTATGAATTAACACCACAGTTTTGTTATTTATAGCTTCAAACCCTTTGAAAGTCACTTTCAAAGACAGTAGCTTTGTTTTCATGTTTTTTCCTATTATATATTATGACAGAAGTGAGAGTAATTTTTCAAGGTCCCATCTCAATAAAATTCTCATTTTTCAGTGGAACTAAATCCAGGCTCCTCTTGAGAGAGATGGCTGTTTCTTTGGAAGTTCTGACCTTCAGACTTCAGAAACTTCAAAAAGTACTGTGTTAACTAGGAATTAACAAAAATAAACAAACAACTCACCAGTAAGCAATTCCACTATCTTTTACTTCACCTCCACTTAAAATCTGCCAGTCTGACATTTTTTCATCTACATACAAAGCCTTTTGTGACTTGAGTTTGGGGAAAAATACATTCATCTTGATATTAAACAATAGCTTAAGTAACCTCCACCTAAAGAACAACCAAATAAATAAGTAATTGATATTTAGATAGGGAGACAAGCTGGCTGATAGACAACTTTTCCATTTGTTCACTTTTAGGACATATAGAAAACTGATATATAAGCTCTGGGAAGCACAAAAGAAGCACAAAAAGTTCTCAAGAACTACTTTAGGTGGAAAGCAAAGACTTAATCAACTTCCTGTACACTCTACGTAATTTATATGAAGGTAGATACAGAAAAGACAGACAATAAAACACTGTTGTCAGCTTTTTAGCCATCTTTTCAGGTATCCTCCTGTTAACCTGTCTCACTCTGATTTCAGCTAATACAACAAAACTTTAAAGAACAAATGTTCCATAGCAGCTTTTCCTTTCTCTCAATTTGAAGAAGTTGAATTTTATACCTGGTTATATTAGGTTACAATAGCAACCAGCCATTGAAAGGGAAAAGTGGCACTTTTCTTCAATGGAAATGGTTTGAAGATGGGAAAAAAATAAAATAAAATGGCTAATAACACTTCAGCCTTTGCCCAGGTGACCACTTTTCCAAAGAAGTAATCAGTAATTAAGATCTCACATTTTTACCATCTAATACGTATTTTAAAGGCAATGTTGGGCTAGCTTATTTTGATAAGGATTAATTTTATTCTTTCAAACACAGGAGACTAACATAGATAACATCTGTATACAACAAATCATTAAGATTCTTAAATGGCACTTTTATTACTGAAAAACATGTACAAAAGGATGCTGATTCAACTCTCAAATTAAAGGGTGAGAGGCAGCCAACATTCTCAGCACCCCTAGATGCAGTTCATTTCAGGTTGTCCCAATGGATGTATACTAGTCAAGTTCTCTCAGGTATCTTCCAACACATCCACTCTTAGTATGTCACACTGAAGTCTGTCTCTAGGCAGAAACTTTTGGGGACACCTTGGATAAGACTGAGGCAAAAACAATTATTTAGTACCTCTGCTGTATTTATTAACTTTTGTAATTAATTCACTGTTCCATTTCAGCACCAGGTCCCCATTTTCCTTGTTCAGCCTTTCACTGAACAGTTCAAGAAATTCTGGTTGTATCAGTCATTATTTGCAACTCTCAATTGCAGGTAGGTCACTACCACCCTTCAGTGTCCAGACAATGTTTCTGAACTTCCCCTCTACAGCTTTCCTCATTTCCACATCCTGAATACTGTTTTTCACCTGCAGCCTACACTGGAGTTCAGTGGTGAATTCCATTTAGTCAAGCTGATCTCCCGAGACATCCACTTTTTTTCCCAAGTGGACCATACCTGAGCTTGGAGGAAGCTTTCTTTAAAGACATGGTAGCCCTTCCTGAGCATTTTATTCTTCAAAACTGATTCTCACAGGATTCCACCTACAAGTTTCCTGAACAGCTGAAGACTCTGCTTCTTAACTCCAGGGCTGTACTGTGCTGCTTTCCTTCCATCATTGTCTCAAGGTCTTGGCCTCGACAACTTTATGGTCATTACAGCCAAGACTGCAACTGATTCTCATTTTCTTAACCTGTTCTTCCTAGTTTGTAAACAGCATATCCAACTTTATGACATCCCTGGCTGTCTCAGGCAACACTGATCCCAAGAAGTACCCTCTTTCACATTCACAAACTTGACCTGCTTGTAACACCCCTCTGAAAAACCAGCACTAATTCCCATCCGTACAATCGCCCAGCTCTTTCATCCATCAGCATGCCTCATCAGACGGGAAGAAAGAGACATAAAAGTTACTCTGATTGTGTTCATTGAAGGGATGGGTAACAGATTTTTAATAACTTGTCCAATATTACAAGCACTAAATTTGGCAATTTAAAAATTATTTTAGCAGTTTGGAACACATTAGATTTTTTTCTACCAAGAATCAACAAATCATTTCTTGTCCTGGGAACTCTACAGTCCTTTAATCATAACCAGTCTGAAGAAGTTAAGTTGAAGGAACTTTACTTCAAATTTTAAAAATCTGAATTAAGCTCTTTCAACAGTTTCCATTACCAGAACAATCCAAAGCATCACCAAAATTGCTAGTACAAGAAAAAAAGGGCATTTCTGGGTGAGGTGTTAATTCCATAGTTATTGCAATGAATGTATTTCAATAATAAAAGAATACAGCATTGCAGTATACATTCATCATGTAAATAAAAATAATCCCATACCTAGATGTGTATATAAGCAGCTGTTGAATTAAGATAAGCCATGTTTGTGGCTCATTTATTAGAAAAATTTAAAAAACACTAGCCAATTTCCACCAGGAAAAAAGAAAAACTACCATTTAAATAAAAGCTACTCTGTAGTGTGTATTCAGTTATTTCCTTTCTTTGCTTTATCATAAACTATGAAAACAACTTTTTAATATATTGTAAGCAATAACAAGACACCTCACAGAACAGAGGGCCTTTGGAGGCTAGGACGCAATTTATTTGGAACTACATGTTCTTCCAAAACAACAAAGGTTAAGTCTACTGCAACAAGACTATAAGTAAGTAAATTACAAATCAAGAAAAAAAAATGTTGTAATACTTTTAAGCTTTTATTATTTCACACTCATATATACATATATATATGTATGTATGTTATCTCAAAGTGCAGCATCTTTCATTTTTTTAATGATTACATTTTAAGATGACTATTTGAAGTCAGATTCCTGCTTTGCAGCATCAATTTTTAAAAAGCTGTGGGTCTTAAGTGATAGAATGTAAATGAATGCAAGTCCCCACTGGTAGATTTGAATATATAACTTGCTATGTAAAGAAAATAACTTGTAATGAAATGTCTGGAGAAGTTAATTCTCAAATAACATCCAGGAGTCCATTCCACTTCGTACCTCTATTCTGGCATCATTGCCAGATTTTTCTTTTTACCATTGTGCCTCCTGCTTCCTCAGTTTCTCCAGGTCACTTAGCAGGTCAGCACAGCATATATTTAATCCCTTATTTTCCTCCTCCAGGTTTTTTATAACCAGTCTGTTTTGCTCTTCCTTCTTCTGTGCACACTCCTCAGTGTCCTGTAGAACAGTACCACAAGGGCCGATAAACAAAAAAGTGAGAACTAATCAGCAAATATAAACTGTGCAGTTTTACCCTCACAGCAGCTTCTATATTTGATGGCCAAGGTCACCTGTGTACTTTTATTGGCCTCTTTCATGCAGGTGGAAGGGTCATATTTTTTAGCTGGATGACAGCTTTGATGAGTACACATTTGCAAAGAGCCCATTAATTGATCAAGCTGCCTTTGATGCTGTCCCCAGCTATTTTTGAGACCCACACAGACATATCCTCCCAGACCTCAGCTTTATCAATTAATAATGCCAGTCCCATCAGAATCTAATTACAAGAAGCCACATCTTCACACTTCTACTTTCTTTGCTCCATTTCCATCATTAACTATTTATCTGAAAGTTATAAAGCTTGGATTCTTGGCTTTAAAGCATCTTTCTCAGTTGGTATGTGAGAAAACGGCAAGGTATAGCAAGGCCTAAGGCAATTTTTTCTCCAAGCTTGTCACTTTCTGTGCCACAAAGGCTGACACTGCTTAAAGAACTACTTCAAAGCTACAGTCTTATGAAACTATGTACAAGTCAATATACCTTAAGTTCTTGGCTTTTATCTTTAAATTTCCAGGTCAAGTTACCGAATTCATTCTTCAAACGGGCATTTTCCTCATCCACAGCACTTTTTCTCTGCATTAAGTTGTTTATCTCCTGCTGCTGTCCTGTGAGCCTCTATTTAAAAAAAAACCAAAAAAACCTGTTCTTAGACAAAAAAGCAAGCCCAAAAGAGCATGCATGTTCTATGTTTTAGGCCTACAAAATTTAACTATCTGACATATGAAGTTTTTAAAGCATTATTTTGATTCCACTAGCACTTTAATCATACTCAAAATTGAATGACTGTAAGATACAGTAATGCAAATGAGGAGCCAAATATCCTGCTGCTACCGAACAAAGAAGCCTATAAATGCAGAACTGAATGGAAATTACTCAGTGAAGCTTATGCAAAAACAGTTAGAATACTGTTTAACTTGCATTTCTAGCACATCAAAAATCAAGCCAGAGCTGAATTCAAAATTCTCCAGAATTTCCAGAATTTAGTAATTTTGAACAGTAAACAGAAACAACTATTGATCTCCGAAAATGATTATGATACAAAATATTTTTAAAGAGAATTAAGTCTGGCTGAATTTGCAGCTCAAGGAAAATAATACAACATTGCTCAACACAGACTATGGGTTACTTAACCCACATATAGAAAAATCTCTGCCATAAAACAAGAACTTCACATTTCTGTGATAATTTAATTTGATTTTTGTGACACTTGCATTAAATCAATGCCTATTTTTTCCAGGAGTCTGCTTTAATCCAACGTTCTGTTTTGTCCCATCTGTTTCTAAATCAAAAGGGTTTTAATCTATAATATTTTCCTAGCAGTGAATACTAGTGTACCACCATAACTGTGGCACAAAACAGATGAAACTTTCATGTCAGTACTGAAGTATAACTGCTTTGCTTTTAATACATAAGCTAAAATGAAGCACATACAGAAACATAAAAAATCATCAACAAGACAATAATCATCTAGATTATTCTACATCTGATAATATATGTGAGAGTTTTCAGTGTCTAAAGCTTCCATATGGTTCATAAGTATGTCAGACATTAAAAAAGAATAAAGATACACTGAGTAAAGACACAGAAAACAATACATTTGAAGTCACATTTCACCTTTCAAATGACAAAATATTTATTCTTTGGATATATTATTACATTTACAGAAATAAACTGTTGCTGGCAGAAATTATTTAGTTGTATCTTTAAAAAGGTATGTATTCACATTACTATGAAAAGCATCAGAAATTTTGGGTTTTACCCTCCCACTCCCCAGGTCCTCATGGAATTGGAGTAAGCAGCTCCTTAAGACTCCTTTGAGTCTTCCTTCTAGCTCATTACTACTTACTTAACATTTATTAAAAAAAAAAAAAAGTCTGTACTTGGAGATAGCCTTAAAACATCAGTAAAAATCTCACCTACCTGAGACTCATGGCTCTGAGCTAAAAGTTCACAAACACACATTTTTATAAAAGATCCAGCTCTTTAAGGCATCTAATTTCTGAGTACACAGGTACATCACACTACTACTTAGTTTCATTATACAATGTGCAGAAACTGGGAAGCATATGCGTATTTGTGAAGTGAAATCCGAGATATTTGGGTTCTGTTTTAAATGGGATGTTTTCCAGCAACTTAGAGAATAAATAGACAAGATGGTGCAAAAATACAACTAGCTGCTTCAAATGTTTGTTCTCAGATTAAGTTTCCAAGTAAAATAAACTACTTACTGTGAATATTCAGAACAATTACACAGGTTATCCTGAATCAGACTTGCACACTAATTACTTTTCTCCACAACTGAACTGTTAAACACTTTAAATCAATCAAAAGACAGATATACCCCATCAATCACTAAGCAGCAAACTCGCCTGAGTAATTTACAAAGTTCTCTACTACAGCAGTAGAGGAAACATTATCCAGGTGAGTTACACTTGCATGGAAAAAATCCTGTTATGTTTCAAAGCATTTTTCTGGGGTATCACTTTGCATACTCTTATCTTTTCCTCTAAATCAACTTTTACTCTCATATCTGCTTATTTCACATGCTTATAAAGAAGGAAAAAAAAACCAGAAGTATTACTCAGGAGCCATAACTGGGTAGAAATAAGGGTCATAAAAAGGAATTTCTGAGATACAGACAATTAAGGAAGTCTGCCCTTTCCTGTGCAGCTGTTTTCATACTTTGCTTCCTCAACCTATGTATTACTTTATATAATAGGAGAGTAAAGATTGATTTCTTACTGCAGAGAACACAAGCAGTGTTCCTATAAGACTACTCTAGTCTGGTAGGCAAGTGAAACAGCAAAGGAAAAAAACATACCTGATCAACACACAGGGCAACCTCCTACATGAGGTTATTTTGACAGATTTCACTTGGTAAAACACCCATCAGGAATTCATCTATTCCCATAGTATCTACTGATTTTTGTCTAGATACTATAAAGACAGTCTGACACTACACAAGAACAATCTCAACTTACACTTTGAGTCAACTCAGTCATACTTGTTTGAATACAACAGGGCAAAAGCAATGTTTGACAGCTTGGTGGTCAAGAACCATAAAAAACTCGCATGCAACTAAGGCATCTAAAGCACACTTCAACAATCTTCCAAGAAAGAAAACTATTCTAAAGTGAATTTGCCCCAGTGAAAACCAAAAGAAACTGATTTTACCCGTCTGTTTAGCTGGGAAGAATCAAAGAGTATCCCCTGTATACTGCTGGAGCCTAGAGTGCTCGAGGCAACAGTAGATAGAAAGAAACACAGTGACCTAGTGGAACAGACCTTTTGATGTCTCAGAGGGCTGTCATTCCCAAATTCATTTTCATCCTTTCCTATGGCATCTCTTTACCTACAGCACAATACAGTTTTTTTTTCTTCTGTAATACATTGTTTATTGGCAAATACTATTTATTTTTTACAGACCTTCATATTAATCTGAAGAGGAAGCAAAATCACATACCAAGTCTAACTGAGAAAAGCTGCTGTGAAAACTACAGATCAAAACTGAAAGGTGACAATAGCCCTTTATTGTCTTAGTGCTGAACACATCAATCTGTTCATGGCAGTAGAATGTTAAAATTATCTGCCCACATTTCATGTGAATAGACATAAATAAAAGGTTTTAAATTAAAACATCATTTTTACCCACTGTGAATTTAGACAGTATAGTACTGTATGGAGACAGTGAAAGTGGTGACAAAAGCAACTCTTCAATGATTCTGATTCCAAAAAAAAGTGAGTTAGGATACAACTACCAGAAGTTTCATACTGTTTGATATTGCAGATATCATCACTGAAATTCAAGTCTTTAGTGAAATATTTTTTAATCTGCTACATAAAAAGCTTGTGGAAAGAACAATAAAACAACAGCTGTACATGTTATTATTGCATTAAGTGCTTTCCAAATTTTCATATTTTGGGGGCCATGGCAAAAAGAAGTTGGAAAAATCAACTCCTAATTTTGCATTTTGAAATCAATCACACTGCACTACTAAATCAGTACTGCATAACTGCCTCTCTACAGGTTCATTAAACATAAGTAAGAGTGGGTTTTATTTCATGTTAAGAAGTTATCTCAAACTGGAATAAAAATAATCTAGCAGAAACACAAAACTGAAATATCCTTCAATGTTGCTGCTAATAGAGAAATGCAAAAACACACTGGGTGCTGAAGCACTTAATGAAAACATTAAAATCTATGCACCACAATATTAAAGGAGTCCATCTATGAATGCAACAAAGGGGTATGCATTTGATTTCTACCACCAAAAATATGAGGGTAAAAATAAATATTAATTCTGGGCTTTCTTCATTGCATTCTTTGTCAGAAGTTTTCACTGTACAGTAGTCCACTTCTAATATAGCACATGGAAAAAAAGTTAAAATGAACACAAACTGATGAAAAATTGAAGTATTTGCCCCCTGAATTTGATGAAATCCTGACATCTTCTGCAAAAACAAATTTAATTTAGTACATAAATCATTTTATTTAAAATTAAATGTGGAAATATAATTTCTTTTAAAGTTCTTCTCCTCAAAATTTCTACTTCCAACATTTTGTGACATATTTTCTCCCTTTCATCATTTCTTTTTCCTCAAGTAGTTGAGATTGACTTACCACACATTTAATTTCTTCCAACTCCTGTTTTCATTTCTAGCAGGAATTTAATGCTAAAAATGCTCCAGTAACATTTTATACCTTCCCTAGATTAAGCGTTCTTACATTTTTCTCTATATTTTTTTCAACTTTATTAATCCTTATGGTTCTTGAACATCCATATGCAAGTTTAACAAAAAGCATTGCTAGTCATAGTTTCATACAGTCCTTCAAAATAAAGGGGAAAAAACCCAAACCAAACCAAACCAACAAAATAAACCCAAAATCAGACACCTAACAAAAGAAGTTCATGTTCTTTCATCTCATGACTTCATTAGATTCTTGGAGTATTTTCAGATGTAGGACAAACAGAAGTTCAATGCAAATAGTTCGCAGAAAGGTAACCATATGCGATTAGAGTCATCAGCTGCATTCTGAAGTCTGTACAGCATCCAATCAGAGTCTGAATGACAACAGCTAGTTATGATATAAATTTTATAATATAAAATTGTGATATCTAAATATAATATAATGATAATATAAACATGATATATAAATGATGAGTTATTTTTAAATCCATACCTCTCTAGAGGCAAAACACCAACAGTGCAACCTGATTGTACTGCAGATAGATTCCACAGCATACCTGTGTTCAGAGCTAAATATTCAACTTAGAACTTGACTCTTAACAAGGATGAAAAAAACAATGAAAAATAGTAACTGACATACAATGGATTTAAATGTAATACATGTAACAGGCATATCCCATTTTTAATTCTTATTACGTTTCATTCCTAATCTTCTGCCAGATCAATCTTAAACAAATTAAAAAAGCAAAGAGTAATTGAAGCAGGGGAGTTCAGTTGATTATCATTCCACCAAGGTTTGTTCTTCCTCATCCAATTCCATGCTCTCCAGGATTCCCTGAGATAAACCAATGCAAAAAATGGCTTCTGAGAAAAAGAAGTATTAACCCACAAGCAGTTGTCTATAAATCCATTTCCAAAATGAATGA